TAACAAGAATAGGAACAAATACCGGCCTTATTACTAAATTGAAATGTGGTAATGGCTCCCAAACTTCACTTTACCCTGATTCTGACAAGTATTCTGGTATATAGTCCGTAAGACCTTTTTTGGCATGTGCTAGAATAGCAAGCTCTTTTGCCGCAAACGCAAGAAAAGTTGATTGGTCAATTCAACCTCCCCTAATCCTCAGGCCTGCTTGGAATCAACATGTATTTCCTACTAATCCCAGCGAACTTAACAATGTGGAGCATACCCAACCGCTAATTTATGCAGCTCTTGCTCCGACCGATTTTAGGGAAGCATGCTCATATTCCTATAAGTTGATCAAGAACTGTTAGCGGAGTCGATACACAATAAGACCTTCTTCATCCTTAGTTGAATTTGTATTAATTTCCCTTATCCTTTCCTCATCCTTACAAACTTGTGAAAATAAGCTCATGTGTGTACTGAGGCAGTATTCTTTAGCCAAGCCGAGAAGATTTGCAAACTTGAGGTGACCTTCAAGAGCGAATATATTTTCAACATCCAATTAGAGAGACAACTGCATGAGAGATTTATAGAGCTGGAAAAATCATTAGCAGGTAAATAGGCAACAAAGATCACCTACAAGGTTGAGCTTGACAACCTGATCAATCAACTGTTCTATGAAGAGAATAAGGTTGTTGACCTCAAGGCAATGTTAGCCAGACTCAAGGAAGAACTAGAGTAGTTGTTGAAGGCCAAAGATGAGAGGGAATAGATGCTGGCTGCACAACAAAGCAATTAGGATGTAGATCGCGCCATTTTCTAATTGGACTTGGAGGGACTTTGCTATGCTGTGGAGTTGCAGGTGGATGTGCATACTAAGGCTCTTCAATAAGTGAGAAATGAGAATGAGGTGGAGTTGGCAGAGATTCGTGCGACCTTCAAAGCAACATTTGAGTTGAAATACTTCGAGGGCTATAGCCAGGGTTACATCTCTGGCTTTGCCTGATGGAAACTCCGAGATGGTTGGGACTTTTACCATAACAGAGGAAATAAAGAAGGTTAATTTCCTCATTTCTCCTATCTTGTCAGAGGAAATCAAGGAATGAGAGGTGTCAGAGGGAACCAAATTATGTGTTGACATCGATCAAGGATCCAAAGCGACTCCACCTACCAATTCCGAAGTAACTCCCGATGCTCAGTCTACTGCCCATAAGGATGAAGTTGTCGTTGTTCTAACCAATTACGACAATGAGAATTATCTTAGTTTTTACTTAAAAGTGTTTTTAGACAATTTTTTTTTTTATATATAGGAAATGGGCATGTTGCTTCCAAAATTGAACACCTTACTTTTTGCCTTAGTTATGGAACTTCGGCTGTTTATATTTATGTGATCATATTTTCTTGCATATATTTAGCTAAGTAATTCTACTTAAATCTTTAAGCATATTAGAGCATGATACTTAGAAATTTTCATCCTTTGATTCCTTATCACATAATATAGTTTAATCCAACTTAACCAGAGCAAACCAACTTCAAATTTTAAGTCGTAGAGTTAAGCTTGTTGGCCTGGGACAAAGTTTAGACCCCCCTTGATGGCATTGCAACAAAACAAGCTATCTCCTAAGTTTAGTGTTTATAAATATTTTCACTGCATTACTAGAATACCACTTTATTCCGACTCCTGGTCTAAGACCCATAAAAAATATTATACTCCAAGACTTGCTTTTGGTGCATTGATTAAATTAAGCATGAGAAACTGACGAGTCATGTCCAAAACGGTATCCAAATCTTAATGTCAGCCCGACATGTTCAGATTGCCTTGTTGGCTAAGTAAGTGTAATTGCTAACACTTGCCTTCTTTTAAGCATAACATTGCGTCCCTTTTTTCATTCACCTTGCCTTATTCTAGGTCTAAAGATTTTAATAATTGCAACGTGTCACCAAGAAACGGCTTCATTCTTAGTCTGAATTGCATGTTTGTCCCTAGTGAGCCATATACAAAAGTTCGTTAGGGACTTGGTCGCATGCACGTGGGCTGAAAATACTTTTTGAATCCTTTCATTGGACCCTATATGCATCCCACCTGAGCATTTCCTATCGGACTACACTTATAACTTAGCTAAGGCATTTCGGCATATTAGAGCTTCATTAGAATAAGATTCCTCTTAGGAATATCCTAGTGTGGATGCCTCCTTCAGACCTGCTTAAGCATGAGATCACCGCAGAACGTATTGACTTAGTATGCTAGTCCAGGAAATAAGTAATCATACTTAGGGTCGAAGTTCAGAGCCACAACTCAAATGATTACTGAATCGCCCTTTCGATTATTCTTTTGAATGGCCAAAGTCCAGGTTTGAATGTTAGAACCTTCAACTCTTAGGTTGCATAAACTTTCTGGAGGCTGGAAGGTGCACTAAAGCTTCCAGATCAGGGGGCCATGTCCCTATGTTTGTAGGCTACCTATCGTAACCGCACTTAACACAACTTAAGCCTCCTAAGCGACTAACCGAAACACTACAAAATAGGTTACAAGAGATTATTCTGACACTAATTCTTTGAATTTTTAAACTTGCACTTTTGCAGAGCTTCAAACCTTATGTGGTATTCAGGATATTGAAGGACTCCCTGTAATGCAAAAAAGAAAAGAAAAAAAAGACGAACTAACAAAAGTCACACGATAATCAAACTAAATTCTTATTAAAAAGAGTAAGGTTTGATTGGGGAAGGGTGTGATTGAATCCGTATTGGACAACATAATACTCCAGGAAGGAGAATTAAATAATTGGCATAGTTCTAATAAAAGATGATACAATGTATTTACATTGGAGCTCAGCTTTGATAAAGGTGCATCAGCTTAGACAGGCGTTGGAGACATTTCTTCTAGTCTACGCATAGACGAACAAAATTGAGATTAATTATGGTTGGATCCGTGACAGATGACCTATATTTCTTCTCATGTTAAGAAAGAATCAAATCACTTATAGTTCGTTGGAAGGTTTGCAGTGATATCAGTGATGTTTGAGGACGTTCCACATTATCCTGATCGGAGTTCTCTTCCTATTTGCATGATTGCCAGTCTTTTGCCTTTAGGTGCATCTACCTTGTCTAGGTACTCCTATCTTCCATAAATGCAATTGATGTTCAAGGTAGGTTTTTTCACTGGTTACTCATCTTCCTCTTCAACAATGAGTTCGTACCAATCGGACGTACACTGGTTCCTCTTTTTGGCATACTCATTTTTCTTAGATTTTTCCTTTACAAACTCTTAGAAATGCCCTTGATTGAGTAGCTCCTAGATATGATCCCCGTGCGTTTGGCAACTTCGAGTGGTGTGACCAGTGCATTGGTGGAATAAGTAGTACTCATTAGGCTTTTTCTTAGCCAAATAGCCAGGGAAAAGTTGGGCCTCTTAAGGAAGAGTTTGTTCTTGATGCTATGAAGGGTTTGTCCTCATTCTGACGAGGAAAGGGAGGTGAGGTGTCTTGGTCATCTCTTCTCCCATCGGACCTTCTGTAATGATCCATCTCAGATCTTCTCTTCTAAGCCCTGTCGTCCTAGTCAATGAGATCATTAGCAATATCGAAGCATTCTGCCAAGGCAGCATAGTTGTACTGTTTCTTCTTCAACTTCTAAGAGAGAGGTGGGTAGACATAGAGCCTTTGCTTGAAAGCCATTTTAGCAAGTTTGTCATCCAACTTCTTAATTGCAACCAATTCTGCACGGAATAACCAATTCTGCACGGAATCGCTTTAGGTAAGGCTCTAAGACTCTCATTCTTATTTTGAGCACTCATGCTAAAAATGGCCTCATCACACTTACAAACATCATGATACACTAGGTAGGTATTCCTGAAGAAGTTAGCATGGCTTTCGAAACTGTCAATGGAGTAGGCCAACGATTCCGAGTACCATTTCATAGCAGGTCCCTCCAAGGTAGTTGGGTACATCTTGCACATCCAAGTGTCGTTATTGTGTATAAATCTATATCATTTTGAATGCATGATATGGTAATGTAGGTCAGAATCTTCGCGGAAGTACTTGAACCAGGGTTGTGAAAATTTCTCCAGATGAGGTGCAGATTCGATTATTGAAGAAATAGGGTCTCTAATTTTAATGATAATCTTTCTTAGGAGGCGATTCTTGTCACACCCCAATCTGATTAGCCAACCTACTAAGGGTGGATATGTGCTGGCCAACACTAGATTGACAATATAACCCCACTGTAAAGGTGACCAAATACAATTAACCTAATGACGAAGCCATGAGTAAAAAAATTGTGATGTAAATCAATTTGAGCGAAAGAGCTCTTTTGTTAATTAATTTTAACCTATCCTGCAAGTTCCTACACAACCTCCCCACGTGAGGACACATCTAGTGATTTAATCCCATTATTATCATATCATTTAGAGTATAACAGTAATGCATATAATAGTAAATCACAATAGTCTATGTTGTGCCATGCATAATAAAAAAATTAAGATCATGGATATTATTACAACTCGATAAGGATTAAGCAGAGGTAAAACTACCCTACTCTATAGGAAGTCTGCACTACTGCTAAGCCCACTTATCCTCTTTCAACACTCAAGGTCTTGAGGGGGCGCAAAACAAAGTGTGAGTGGATCATAATCGTTTACCAATTCAAAATCATTTTTAAACGTCCCAACCCTTCCTCGTTTTGGAAAACATGTATGTTTAAAGCTACATAATAATATTTACTACCATAATAGTAAATGTGAATCACATCAAACTCATTAATCGAAATCATGCTCAATCAGTTTACAAAACATACCAGAAATCAACCATTCAATCATACTAGCATCTACTAAGTATAAGTATAGCGTGCATAGTACACAAGCGTCTACTTGTGCATTGCTAACATCTACTAACTAAATTGTCTACTGGTATTTATCAGTATTCCTAGCATATACTAGAAATATAACAACATCTGCAAATATTTTACAACCATGGAAATCTATATATGCATGATGACCATGTCATGAAAATAAATCATTAAAGGAATAAAATCAATTTTGTTGTCATCAAAGATTATCTTAACATCATCCAATTCAAAAAACAGTTTAATCGAAAACTTATTTTTTGAAGGGATCCACTCACTAGTATTGTGACTGTAAATCCTTAATAAGTGCCTTATTCTTGTTTGTATCACTTATACTTTCACCTATAAAATATCATTTAGTTTTAGTATTTCACAAATTCTATCACCTAAAAGTGATAAATGGCTTTGAATTTGCATAAAGAAAGTGTGCCATGTGATTCGGGACGTCAAATAACCTTAAGGTAGGTTTCAAGTCCCCACACGCTGCTGTACAGACAGTCCCACTACGCCATGTGCTGCCGTTATGGCATCACCCGCCGATGGATGCACCGTCGTTCGCCAGAAGACGCGCTATCGTACTTACCGTTATTGCCAGAGAATACACGATGCAGTCGCCGTCATTGAACTTATGTGCCGATCGTTGAACTCAATTTAAATGTTGGTTGAATATACCTAATTCCAGTTGAGATTCAATTTTTTCTAACGGTAACCACCATTATTGCCGTTAAATTTAACGACAACCGCAGTGCTCTACCGCTAAAGGTTCGCCTCATTCTGCAGATAAACCAGAGTTTGAATCGAGTTTGAATCAGTCCAATTTATTCAAATTTCACTCTAAAACTTCCCATAAATGATCATTAAACTTGTCTAAACTCAATATAAAAGGAATTGGACTGAAGTTTGTATTGGACTCGCTGACTTTGGCCAACCTCCTTCACCAAAAATAGGAAGATTTCCAAAATGCGTCCAAACCTTCTAATTAGCTCAAAATTCATCAAATCTCAACCAATTTCACACAAAGAAGTCTAAAAATTTACCTGGAGTTGGAATTTGGCAACTGGGTGTCGATTCTACCTCGGATTTGCTGAGGTTTTGCCGAAAGCTATCAACCAAAACACTAGGGAATTACACAGAGACTTCATAGAGGTTAATTTCTTCAAAATTGAGCTCGAACTCAACACCATTAAGTTCTGAATATTACCAGAACTCAAAATATTGAAATCATTAGGTGAGTTTCAACTCGAACGTAATGAAATTAGTTGGAGTTCATTGCACGAACATGACATCGAAGGTTACACAGAGGTTAACACTTTGAATCTTAACTCGATGCAGACATGTAGAGTATGGAAGTGATATCTAAGATTGAAAGAAGTTGTGCCCAAGTTTGATCGACAGTAATTCTTTCAGATTTCATCTTAAATTTCACCAGAAAACTTCGGTGAACTTGATTCTTGGGGATATGACCTTCCTATCATCAACGTCTACATGTAAGCCTACATATTGACTTCTCTGGTCAAGCTAACACTGAAATTGATAATTGTGATCTGAGATTTTTTCTGAAAAATGTGGCGACGTGGGTGGTTTCCTCGCTGGTTTAGAGAGAGGGTTTGAGAGTTAAAGATTAGATAGAGGAGTTTCAGAATGAATGAGGAATGAGAGACCAGATGTGGGATTCATCCCACTCGTGAGTGTGAAAACTAATTTAATAAAGTAAGAAAATATGAGAAATTGGAATTTAACTCAGAGGTCCATAATTACTCAAGAAACCGAACCAGGGCCATTTTGGTCATTTCACATCTATCAGGAATAAGGTACATTATTTTAAGGTATGTGTTATATCAATTTTGAATCTATGTTAGAGCTTCCTAAGGTTACCACAATTCAGCGGTCTACGTTGCTCTTGCTCTTCAGATGACTCTGGATCATTGAGTCAAGGTGTCAGGGCTCTATGAGTAGGGCTCGTGCTATGTCAAAGAGATCAAAGTTGTATTAAACTTGGATCCCGCCTGTAGAGGTGTGATTGACAATCTGGCCATCGCGTTGCTCTGCGCACGAGTTCAGTTCAGCAATATCAGATGCAGTTAGAATGGACAACGATGCGATTATCTATCCCTCCAGAGTTATGGTAATCAAGTTCCCATTACTAAAGACAGGACTTGGGTTTCTAGAAAAGTCCTACTAGAGTTCTCGAATGCCTTCAGTTACCTCTTGATGTCAACAAAGCTTGAGCGATTCTCTGCCTAGAAAGTCGTATAGGTTTTCTATAGTTCGCCAACAGAGGTGTTGATCTTCATTAAGGTCTAACATATCTAATCCATGGTAGGAGAAGTTCCAATAACAGGAGCATCATTATTTCTGGGGATTGTTGAGGCGTCAAGGACTTGACTACTTGGGCCTGGGACAGTTAAGGTGTCTAATCAAGGTGTTAACACCATCGTTAGCTGAACTTTCTTTAGCAGACATGATTGTGGTAGACTGATTTGGTCAGGGTATTATGAGTTCACTCTCAATGAAATCACTAATTATTGGTACCAAAATCGTGCACCATCTTGTATGGAGGAGATTCACAAACTCGATTATCTGTTAAAGAGCAAACACGCTTAACTTGGTACCAATGGGGTACCAACCAGAGGCTCTCCAACAGTCAAGTTAGTATGCAATATTAAGATTTAAGAATTGGACAATAGAATAAACTATGTGATAATTACGTTACCAGAGATGAACCCTAGGTGGGTGTATTTATATTAGTTGAGAGAAACCTTTTAAGACATTAAATCCGTATTAAACCAGGAGAATCCAAAAGGATATCTAGGAGATAGATATTGCATTCTCTTAGGAATGTGATTACTTGTGGATAGGAGCATATTTATGGGACTTAGTTAGCTTGTTTTCTTGCATTAATGTTGTTAGTTCATAGTTATTTTAGTATTTTAAGTTATTTTTGTGTGTTTGTAAGACCAAAAGGCTAAAGTAGCAAGAAAGTGCATTTTGGAGATTTTTGGAGCAGTTTTGGGCTTGGAATGGATAGCACATGTATGGAGTAAGGTGGATGGACGAAATTGAAGACCAAAAGAGGTTAGGATTATGCTGAAGTTATGAAGAAATTAATTCAAGAACAAGGAAGACAAGGAAACCATCAAGAAAGAGGAAAGACTAGTCAAACTTGCCTTATCTTGTCCTTACCTTTCCTAATCCTAAATCACCAAGGTTCCAGCCACAAGGAAGATTCCCAGATATATTAGGACACTTAATATAGGTTCTAGAAGACCTAATCCCTGCACAAAAGGGGTTGCCGCACCTTTTTCCCTTTCCTCTTTCCTTTCCCTTACATGGCAAGGGATTTCCCTTTCCTTTTTGTCCTTGCCGCATTTCCCTTTCCCTTTTCCCCCTTGGATTCTGATTTGTTACCCTTTTCTTGATGGATTTGGAGTATTAAAACTCTTCCCAATTTAATTCCCAGCCATGCCTTTCCCATCCCTATAAATACACCCATTGCCGCACCATTCTATCATCCATCGTTCACCATAAATCACCTACAATTCATCACTAAAACCTTCACCCATACCTAGTGTCGCAGCAAAGAAGAAGAAGGAGGACCCTTGGAGTGCTTGCTATTCAAGTTTGGATTGCTGGATCATTCTTAGGTGTAATCTATCTTTTGTTTTTAATGTTTAAATTTATTTATCTTTGTTTTACGAACATGAGGAGCTAAACTCGTTTTAGCTAGGGGAAAATTCAAAGCCATGAACATATTTGCAATATGAATTGATTACTTCCAGTTGTGATTTCATAAATTGAGAATGCAATTTGCTTAACTGTTTTATTCAAAACTTATTCTTGTTTGTGGATTAAGGATGCATACTTAGTTTACATGCATGAATTTGATACCAGAATATAAGGGAGTTTCACATAATCGTTACAAACTTATATTCACAAGTAGTGAAGGTCGATGGTCACGATCGCGTTAAGTTAAATTCCTGGCATGAGTATCATAATGTCATAGTTACGAATGTTTTGTCAATGCTTATGATTTTCATAGAGTTTAATGATCTTTGATTGTATCCCTATTATGATGTGCATGTAGGGGACTATTGAAGAATAATTTGGGTTGATGATGTGTATCCCATCCAATTCAATGATTTAAGGAAAATCTGAGGGTTAATTAGTAATGTCACGGTTAATCTGGGGCATTGTCATTCATGGTTTATCAAAAAAGCAACTGGAGATTGATTTGTATGCAAGTGTGTCATGTGTAGAGAAGGACCCTCTAGCTAACCCATCATCCATTTAATTCACCAAATTCGTCCAACTTTGTTTAAGTCTTTAATTCATTTGTTTTCACTTTAATTTCGTCCAAAAACCAATCCCCTTTACTTTAGTGTGTCAAACTAGTTAGAATATGTCTTAGTTTGTGTTTTTAAGTGTTTTGAGTCAGGTTAAAATCAATTTTCATCCAAAGTCATTCCTAGTGTCTAGTAGAGTCTATTTAGTTGTTTTAAGCTGTTTTGAGTCTTTTAAGTTTGTTTCGAGTCTAGTTAAGTGTTTTTAAGTTTGTTTTTGAGTTTTTTAGTCAATTTAGAGTAGATTAGCAATCCCTCCTAATCCCCGGTTTAGAACAATCCCTACTTATCCATACTACAATTGTCAACAAGATGGTTTAATTTGTATGTTAAGTTAATTTTCGCATCACTTGTCGCGCACATTCATCCCTAGATTGTAGAAATCTTCAAAAATAAAGGAAACTAATTTGATCACCAATCAGATTAGATTTCCATATCTCTAGAGCTATTGGCCCGTTTTAGCACAATAGGATGTGGTGGCATTGTTGGCTCGTTTGAGCAACTCAATCCAATTGGGGCTATTCAGTTTATGACTGGACTTTTATATTCTGATCCACCATACTCTAGCCCTGAAAATTCATGGCCCCACAAAACCCGTTCAAAAGATTTATCATTGCAAACCAGGTTTTTCTCAAACACGGTCTTAAGGTCAATATTTTTTCAATGTGATTGCACAAAGCATTCACCACTGCACATGAACCCTAATTTTAGATTATCGAATTATGTATTCTGCTTAAATTGTTGTTCGTAATTAATTCTATTACTGTTGTTATAATTGTGGTGAACTAAATCTGTGTGAATGAGCAAAGGAAAAAAAAAAAAAAAAAAAAAAAACCTAATCGCATTTGAGCTGGTACCTGAAACTGCTAAGCAAGGTCACGTCGCCAAGCCATGGCATACAGCCGCTGAGCTACTCCACCTCAAGCAGCTGAGCTACTCTGCCCCAAGCCGCGAAGCCGAGCTGCTCCACATGTCAACCCAAGGTCTCCAAGACAACAACGTGAAGACATTTCACGTCATTGTGTCCACTGGAACTGGTCCACCTTCTAGCCTAACCCACTGTTGATCCCATCACCAACTGACTTGCAGTCGTCTTCCTCGGTGAACCCAGTCGTCTCCAATGACAATCCACGAGTTTCCAGTTGAAATATCACCAGGATCCTTCGAGATTTAAACTGAACTTGTGTGGTTTGGACTTCCCCGATGTTAAGATACTTCTCTCGTTAAGTTTTTATGGGTTCTAGCCAAACTTATGCTTGCCCCAAACATCCTTGGCTTGAGATCATCGCCCCCTACAGTGTAACCGGCGTTTTTCTGACGAAACCAAAAACCCAACATTTTTGTTTGATTATTTTTTTATATTATTTGGATCATGTGGTTGCTGGTTCATTTATATTTTTTTAGCTTCATCAATTGATATGGATTTTTGTTTGATCAATTGATATCTGTAGAATTAGAAGCATGAAATGATATTAGAAGCAAAAATCGTTAGAGTATGAAACCTTGTTGTGGACATATTAGTCTTTGTAGCTTGTAATATTGTTTGTACAAAGATTATAAATGAAAAGTTGTGGTTTATGTTTAATTTTTAATGTTATTTTTCCTTTAATATTTTTGGAGCTTTTAGGAGGGTGAGCCTTGGCGCAACAGAAATGTGGCTCCTTTGTGTCCGAAAGGTAACGGGTTCGAGTTGTAGAAACGACCTCTTTACAAAATAATAAGGCTTCATACGATAGACGTTTATCCTGACTCTCGGAAAGCAGAGAGCCTTATTGACTTGGATCGCCCTTTTGTTTTTCAAAGCTTTTATAAGGGATCAGCCAATATTAAAATCCTAGATCCACCACTACTTGTAGATGAAGTAATTAAAAGTATTCATACACTTGTTCAATAACATTATTAAGTAAATTTTGCTCAAGAAGACAACTTGATAATATTAAACTCCATATAAATTTACTCAAGATTGCAGACGACCATTTAGTCTACTAGCAAATAGTCTCTACTTTCTTTGAGAAAGTTATGAAGTAAGATCTTGTGAACGACCTGTTGGTTAATAAAAAAATTAGGTAACTACATTTTACACAATCTATATGACTTAAGGTTTTGAAATTGTATCATTTTATGCTTTGTTTGGTTTTGATGTAATATCATTTTATGCTTGTTTGTTTGACCCTCTAATCCTCTATTAAATTAATGAAGTGATTGTTTCTAGGGTTCGTAGAAGTTACACCTGTATTATTATGACTTTTTATTTAATATCATTTTATGCTCGTTTATTTGACCTTTTGATCCTCTATTAAATTAATGAAGTAATCATTTCTGTAGCTTTTACTTGTATTTGGCTTGC